TGCATTTGTAACTTTCACTCTATGCATCCGAAGAAGTGAGGATTTTACTCACGAAAGCTTATGCCCAAATAAATCTGTTAGTCTTTAAGGTGCCACCAGACTCCTTGTTGTTTTTGTAGATACAGACTAACACGGCTACCCCCTGATATTTAACAGAGACCCAGCTCGTCCTTGTGCCCGGCTTTCCTGGCCAGTTAGCCGCCACAAGCTACGAACCCAAGCCACAAACTCAAGCAGGACTGGTAACTATGCAGCAGCTGCAGAACATCTGATGGATGTGTGTGTGTGTGAATGTGTTTGTGTGTGTGTATAGGTATTAGGTATAATGTCTGTGTATAGGGATTAAGATATTAGTTATTGGTCATAAATCAAATTGTTATCATAATAAATGTGGCATCTTTATCTTGTCCCCTTTAATAAGATCCTGCTAGTTTTTATTGGTATAACAGTGCCACAAGCTGGCGATCGCTCCTGCTCTGGAGATGGATGACTCACTTGGCCATCCCTAGTCGAGCTCTAGATGCAGTTCTCTGTAGTTGCACCTTTAAAATTCCATTCACAGACTTCAATGGAATGGGACCCCTAAGCATGTACCATGATTGTGGGGTTTCTCCTTCTAAATTCTATTTTGCCTGTGCCAATGGCACTTGCTCAAACTGACAGATCAGACACATGAATCCCTGACTTCCACATGCAACTGCTGTGTCCAGTGCATTTGCCTTTCTCCATGTGTGCAATTCTGGTCAGCAATTCTGAAACCTTGATTCATTCCCGTTTCTTAACAGGCTCTGCAAAGAACTTTGCTTTCCTAATCTCCCACTTCCTAGACACTGGAGTTGTGCCTTTTATTGCTTCCATATCATTAGGGCCCTTTGTTTTCCGTATTTATTTTAGTTAAACACTGATAAATTCCCAGGAAAAATTACCACCACAACAAAAACAGATGAAAATCAGCACAAAAATCTATTAATTTTTCTAGGTAAATATTGGGGTTTATTTTGGTGGATGGAAAGATGGGAAAAAAGTATTCAGTAGATTAATGCTTTGAATTCCGTTCATCACTGTGGTTTGCTGCAGAACTAAAACACAACTCAAAACACAATACCTCCCACCCCCCCCCGAGTTTAAGAAAACAATAGATCTCTAATCCTCAAATAAAACTTTTAATTTGAACCAACAGTTTACTGGTGTAGACTCAGAACTATTAGCCTATAAATATTCACATTTGATAATTGGGCCACCCCATTTGTAGCGCATACACTCAACTTCATCCTTTTCTCCGGTTTTTGTTTCTTTAACCCTTTTGAATACTTCCTTGTGTTCTGAAACGTATTCTGATACAGATTTTCATTTTCTTCCCATTTTAGTGCGTTAAATCTTTAACCCATTGTCTGCTAACAGTTTGAAATGTGTACGTGGTGGGCGTGAGATTCATCAGTACGTCCAGATGCAAACGCACTTCAGAGCTTGTGTGCGTGCCTGTTGGTTAGTGTGTGTATCTTCTAGAAGAATACATTCTTATTTCAGCAGGCAGCTTTGCATATACACACTGACTAATGTATTATTGGAATACAGAGATCTCATGCAATGGATTGTATTTTCCTAATAAAACAAGTTATTTTGTATATATTTGAATGATACAAAAGCAGGATGAAAATCAGAAAAACCTGAATAATACTTTTTGTAAAACCTGGGAATTTTTTGGTAAAAATCAGTTTAAACTGAAAATGAAGGGGCTTATATATGATGTATCAAAAAGGCCTGAGACATTCGCCTTTAAAACAGCAAAACTGTTTCCACACTGGAAATATTAGAAATGTCAAATTTTGTTTTCCCTCACTTTGCTAAAGGACACACTGACAGTCTCCATTGTGGAGTGGGAGCTCTCGAAGAAGTTAGTAAACTCCAAAGTTAATCAATCAGAATCTCTCCCTTCCCTGGGCAGGGATCTGGGTGTCTCTAACTGTCTCACCTGCAGGAACTGGCTTGTTGGCTGCTGACACTTCTCTTCTAGCTCACTGATCAAGTCACTGAGATGGGAAATCTCCTCAGACAGTTTGGTGACATTTTCATCCTGTATCTTCACAATTTCCTTGTCCAGCTCTTTCAGTTGGGCCAGCAGGGGTTGTGCTGGCTTCAGGAACTGCAGCAATTGCGCAAATGCAGACACAATCTTCTGCCTCTCAGCTTCTATCTTTCCCTGTAATGAAGAGACAAACAGGGAAAGGACAGGTCAGGGACTAGGGTTGCCAGATGGCCAGTTTTCGAAAGGGGAACCTGGCAGTGTCTGGTCAGCAGTGCTGACCGGACACTAGAAGTCCGGTTACCCATAGTAACTGGCTTCCAACACCAGGGGGTGGGAAGAACAGCAGCTGCTGCTGGGAGCCTGGAGGAGCACTCAGGGATGGCTCTGGGGGGAGAGAAGTATGGGCAGGTCCTCCGTCCTGCCCCAATCACCCCTCTACCCCCGGAACGTGGCTCTCCCTCCCCTGCCCTGCCCCAGTCACCTACACACCCCTAGAAACCTGCTCAGCTGGCAGGGGGAGGGAGGTGGAGAGAGCAGCAAGCGACAGTGAGAGGGGGGCGAGGCCTCGAGGGAAAGAGGTGGAGCATGGAATGGGGCAGGTTCCAGCGTCCGGTTTTCACAAATGAGAAAGTTGGACAGCCTATCAGGGACATGGGGAGAGTCTTAGAGCCCTCTTTTCATATTACCCTACTACGAACATACGGATGAGATTTCAGGAGAACATGCCTGATAGTCTCTCAGCTGGCCTGAATGAATAACATGTTCCAAAGTGCCTTTGTGACTTACGCATCCAATTCCCATTTTCAAAGTGACTTTTGGTGCTTAGGAGCCTAAGTTTCTTTGAAAGTGACTTTTGAAAATAGAACTTAGGGTAAATTTTCAGAAACAGCAAAATCATTTAGGAGCTGAAACCCATTTTAAAAAATGTATATGGAGCTGCTTTTAAAAGCTATTTAGGTGTCTAAAGAGGCATATAAACCCTGAAAGGGATTTTCAGTTTCACTTAGGTGCCTAAGTCCCCTTAACTACAGAGGACGTTAGGTGCTACTTAGTTGCTTTTGAAAAATCTCACTAGGCCTCTCTCTGCATTCTAAGCCCCTAAATATCTTTGAGAATCTGGCCCTTAACCACTTGCAAAATTGTAAACCTTAGGGTCCAAAATCACTTAGGCACTTTTGAAAATGTCACCCAATATCTCTAAAATGATGAGTCTTCAGGTCTGAGTGGCTTAGTATATTCTGCTGATCATCTAGATTCTTCCAATAGCAGAAAGGTTGGAAGGGGGAGGTCTGACTCAGAATCAGGAATACATTGGCAGAGAGTTGTGGAGAAGACTGAAGGAAAGTTCTGCTGGTTATCCACACAAAACGCCAGGTACAACATATACTGTGCAAAATGCTTTTTCTCTAGCTCTTACATGTTTCATCTGGCATTTTGTACATTACATTGTCCCAGAGGAAACCAGTCGTATCTGGTGGTTATAGATGGAGATTCAGGGTTGGATTTCAGAGATACAAACCAGCCACTGGGTACCTAAGTCCTATTGACTGTCAAAGTGAATTAGGCACCTAATCACCATACGTGCCTTTGAAAAAAAATCTCCCCTGAAATCAGTGTTTGTAGCTGGATTTGGACCCACTGATGTGTGGGGAATAAGATCAGTGCTTTGAATTGAAACTGGAAGCAAGTGGAGGAATCAGCCCAGAGGGATGATAAACAAAGACAAACATCTCACCCTGTAAGGGTGTGTCTACAAGAGGCAAAGCACTTGAGTTTATCTAATACATTATAGCTAATCCTCATCTAAACTCAACCTTGCTCCTAGTTAGCACATTTTAACTCAGTTTAACTGGACAAGGTGAACCCTACACACCACACTAGGGTCAAATTAAATTAGGTTTACAGTGTTTGCATGTCAGAGGTTTACACCAGTATAAAGACATTACATTACAAAGTGATTTGAGGTAGAGCTGTACTACACAAATGTTATGGTGGTGTGTAGAGGACGTACACTATGTGTCCCTGCTAACATGGGCATAAATAGCAGTGTAGATGGTGAGGCATGGTTTAAGCAAGTAGAGTCAC